AAGGAGCGCCGCCTCTCGGAGATGATCTTCCAGCTGCAGCTGGCGCGCGATCAGCTGCTCTCTTCGCAGGAGATCGGCAAGGTAGGGCCCGCGAGGAATGCTGGTGCAGCCGCCACTCCCAAGGGTTTTGGAAAAACAAATAGCGATCACGGCGAAGCTGTCTATGGTGTAACAATTTTACGACTACGAAGATCGCCCTTTTTGTTATTTCATATTTATAACCATTGTGTGTAATTTTCCGATTATGAAGGTGGCCCTCTTTGTTAATTTTTATCTGTGATATAAAAATTTCGTGTAAATATCCGACTACAAAAATCACCCTTCCTTATTTGCTTGAGTCGCGAGGAAGGGGGCAGTGAAATATTATTGATTTCACCACTCCCAAGGTTTTTGGAAAAACAAATAATGATTACGGCGAAGCTGTCTATGGTGTAACAATTTTGTGTAATTTTCCTACTACGAAGATCGCCCTTTTTGTTATTTGCTATTTATGATATAACCATTGTGTGTAATTTTCCGACTTCCCCTTTTCTTATTTGCTATCTCGGAAAAAAGTTTTTTTGAAACTGAAGTGTTAAATTTTTTTATGCTTGTACATCTATGACTGTAGATTGGAATTTTCATTCTATGTTCTTTCAGATTTTACCTCCTAATCAAGATCATTCAGATCGTAGTCCCAGCTTTCATTGTTCGATTTAGTGCATATTTTGTGACAGTTTTCTCATTAGTTTGACAGATTTGGGCAGATTTCATATAAATTTTGTGTTGTTTGTGAAACATCTCTCGTCTTGTTCATTTGACGTTTAAAAGAACCAGAACCACTTTCTTCATGTTGAGTCTGCTCGATGTTAAGAAATAGAATCTTGTTATTTGGAATCTCCTATCCTTTCGCGAAACCTTAATACATCGACTGGACCCGCTTTCATCGATAGTACCCACCAACAGTCCTCCGAAGACAAGATGCAGACCAATGCAGATAGAAAGCAATGCGGGGAGGCCATTATTTCAATTTTTCGAAGACAGGAGTTACTGAATTAATTCTAAGTGAAAGCACATGGAAAAAAATATTTGAAATTAAGCCTATTTTAACAAACGGAACTCCGTGACAATATTGGATGAATCGAAAAGCGTTTTTCTCAATTCATTGCTTTAAGGATAAACTGTAATCGCACATAATGCAATACTCCTCGTTCATCATTGGAGTTCTTGATTTGTCAGCAGCACATTGCCCGTAAATTTCATCGGTTGAGTGGATTATCGGTTTGTGATTGTGAACATTCGACCAATGAGCTGTCTCTTGTAACCAAACATGGATACCCCAAATCAAATTTGTCCCGGGCACCGACTTGTGTTTGGTGCCTTGCTCGCGTATCATCGTATTTATCCTCCCTAAAATGTAATCTGAATTATAATACAGTCATTTTGCTATTTCAAAAAGTGAAGGAAAAGAAACACAATGAAATCTGGAGATGTTGAATGACCATTTTTCCCAGCTCGTAAGTAAGTAAGTAAGATCATAATTCGAATAACATATGCTTAGCTATTTTGTTTCTGAAATGAACATTGAATTTACTGAGTAATACATTTTCGAAATTTCTTACTGAAATGCTATATAGGTGTAACGTTTTAAATGGCATCTCATTGCAAAGCACCACAGCTTTTTTAATTGATGATGTTCGAGTATAGCATAGCGAATTGGGGGAAATTATGAGCGGAGATTTATTTGTTCTGAGAGCCTCTACGTTGGTGGTTATTCCCGTAAGTGTAGTGCGTATTATATCCAGGGAGATTGCGTTTTTCCTTCTGCGCTGGAGCGTAGATCTGGCGCCGACCTCCACGTCAGGTTGCAAAGGCTGGGGAAAAGAAATAGGTGCGGGTCAACTCCGACGTGAAGCGCCACGGGTACCCGTCCTGGAGTTCCTTCCCCCTCCTCGCGGTTGTTATTATTATTGTTGCGGGGCGGGGCGGGGAGGAGCCGTGTGGCACGCGCACACGCGCTCGCGGGCCCATAAATCCCGCGCCGCGTCGATGCTAATCTGCGCGCGCGGGCCCCTTCAAGGCGGCCTTTGCTGCGCGCACAGAGCGCGCGCTCAGCCCCGGGCCCTCCTCCTCCGCCGCCGCCTCAGCTGCGCGCTCCTCCTCCTCCGCCGCCGCCGCTGCCGCCGCCGCCTCCAGCCCCGGGCGGAAGCGGCCGAGCGCCTATCTGATGGGGCCGCTCCCCGCTGCAAAACCGCCCCCCCCTCTGCCCGCCGTCTTCCAGCGCCTTGTGTTGCGTGTCTTCCTCGCTTCAGTTTGATTTTTGGCTTTTGATTTGTCGCGTCACGGGGCGGCGGTTTTCGTTATGTCTTCCTTCGTCGCCGAGCAGTGAGGTGCATTTCTGGGTCCTAAGGGGTTGGATTTTTGCGTTACGTTTCTACCTCACTTGAAATTTTGTCGATTAATTTGTCGCGTCACGTGATGGAGGTTTTCGTTATGTCTTCCTTCGTCGCCAGGCAGCGAGGTACCTTCCAGGGATCTGGATTTTTGAGTTACGTTTCCTCCTAGCTTGATTTTAATTTTTGTTGTTTAATTTGTTGCGTCACGTGTCGAAGGTTTTCGTTGGGTCTTCCTTCGCCATAGAGCCTTGCGGTACATTCTAGAGTGGTGGATTTTTGAAATGATTTTGAAAATTTGTGCGTGTTATATAGTCACGGAAAGATATTTTAGGCTCTTTCTTCGTTTGTTTTTCTTCTCGACTTGATGTGTTGTGCGTTGGAGATTAGTTTTGAATTTAGTTCAATACTCTGTTCAGAACTAGGTTTGTTGAAAAGAGTTACTTAACATTCATGAGTTTTAATGTTACCATCATATCTTTTATTTTTCACTGTGACTGTTCAGTAGGAATTCTCATTTCTTAACTTTGAAAGTTACGTTAGGAATAGTATGTTGGAATGCTTAGTTCCTATTAGGATAACTCAAGCTCTGATTCTCAGAATACTATTAAATATTACGCCTTGTGCCATTCGTTTTTATATGTTTTGGTGCGGTTTCGTGCAGCATACGTAAAGCAATGAGAGTCGTTTCTTTTTTCAATCTATTAATTTATGTCCGTCAAGATTAAAAAAGAAACACAATAAATCTTTTTTATGAGAACAAAAAAATTAAAATTAACTTTAATTAACAATTAAAAATACCTTTTCTAATGTCCAGTTATTCTATTCATGGTTTTTGGTACCATGGCACAGCGAAAACAACAGACATATTCAAACAAATGTATTAGATATTTTTTGTCATTGACAAGTGATCACTTTGACACTTCACCTTATCATACAGAAAACAAAAAATATAAAACGACTGATGGTGTAACTCGAATATCTAGAACTTGTGGTCGCTTCCGAAATCCCATCCGCGTCAAGAAGGCATTGCGCCGCCCGACGTGCCGCCCGGTAATGCGGCCGGTGTGCGCCGGTGTGGCCGGCGGTGTGCTCGCCCGGTATCGGCCGGTTGTGCCGCCGGTGTGCCGGCCGGTGTGCCGCCCGGTGTGCCGCCCGGTGTGCCGCCGGTATGCCGCCCGGTAATGCGCCCGGTGTGCGCCGGTGTCCGCCCGGTATGCGCCCGGTATGCCGCCGGTATGCCGCCCGGTGTGCCGCCCCGGTATGCCGCCCGGTCTGCCGCCGTATGCCCCCGGTATGCCGCCCGGTGTGCCGCCCGGGTGCCGCCGGTGTGCGCCGGTGGTGCCGCCCGGTGTGCGCCCCGTGTGCCGCCCGGTGTGCCGCCCGGTATGCGCCCGGTATGCCGCCCGGTATCCGCCCGGTATGCGCCCGGTCATGCCGGTAATGCCGGCGTGTGCCGCCGGTATGCCGGCCGGTGTGGCGCCGGTATTGCCGGCCGGTGTGCCGCCGCGGTGTGCCGCCCGGTGTGCCGTCCGGTGGTGCCGTCCGGTGTGCCGTCCGGTGTGCCGTCGTTGTGCGTCCGGTGTCCGCCGGTTGGCCGCCCGGTGTGCCGCCGGTGTGCGTCCGGTGTGCCGCCCGGGTGCCGCCCGGTGTGGCGCCCGGTGTGCCGCCGGTGTGCCGCCTCGGTGGTGCCGCCCGGTGTGCCGCCCGGTGTGCCGCCCGGGTGCCGCCCGGTGTGCCGCCCGGTGTGCCGCCCGGTGTGGCCGCCCGGTGTGCCGCCCGGTGTTGCCGCCCGTGTGCCGCCGTGTGCGCGCCGGTGTGCCGCCGGTGTGCCGCCCGGTGTGCGCCCGGTGTGCCGCCCGGTGGTCCGCGGTGTGCCGCCGGTGTGCCAGCCCGGTGTGCCGCCGGTGTGCCGCCGGTGTGCCGCCCGGTGTGGCCGCCCGGTGTGCCGCCCGGTGTGCCGGCCCGGTGTCGCCGCCCGGTGTGCTGCCGGTGTGCGCCCGGGTGCCGCCATGCGCGCCGCGTGCGTCGCGCGTCAGAAAAAAACGCTTAGCAAGCGCCCGGCGCCGGCCGCCCGGTGCGCTCCGTTGCGTCAGCGCTCAAGTGACCGCATCCGTGGGGTCGCCCGCGTCCTCGTCTCTCCCCGACGCCTTTATCCCGTTGCTTGGGCTTTTCTTTCTTGTGCATTTTATTTATTTATTTTGCCACTGCCGCCCACCTCCCCGCCCCGCCACCACGCCTCGCGCAAACAACGGTCGCGCCGCCCGCGGAGCCCGACTGCAAGCGTCGAGCGCCTCGGAATAATGTATACAAGTAACCCGAGCCCGCTTTATCCGGTCATGATTGTTGTCAATAATGCACGGATTCCCGCTCGCTCTCTGTCCCTCCCTCTCTTGAAATCTCGATTTCACGTGCTCACGACCCGCAGGGGACGGACGGGCGGGCGGGCGGCGGGCGGGTAGGGGAGACGAGGAAAAGTAACGTCTAGCGTCTCGTCTCCGCCGCCCCCGTCCGCCGCCGCCGCCGCCGCCTGCTTCCCTTTACATGGAGTGTCCGAGGGCCACAATCGGCTCGCCTTGCTGCGCCTTCTCAGAAGAGCGTTTCTTTTGGTCCGACGTTGCTCGCCCGTCACAAGCCGCTCTTTCTCTTTCTCCGCCGTAAAAACAAATGGCTGCTCTGTTAGTTTTCATGTAGAATATTTGGAAGAGCGCGTCTCTCGCACGAGCACAGCGCAGCGGCGGCGGCGGGGCGGCGGCGGCGGGCGCCGAGGGCGGCGCGGGCCAGGAACGACGACCATCCGCCGCGCGCGGGGGCCCCCCCCCCCCCGGTCCCCGTGGCACTCGCGCGCGCCGCGCGATCTTCAGATGTCGGGCCCGCGCCGGGGGCGCCGCGGCCTCTTCCGCGTGCAGCCGCCCCCGCGCTGTCCGCCCCCCGTGCCCGTCCCCCGTCCACCGCTGCGGCGCGACCGCATGGCGCCGCCGCTGCAGCCTGCCTCGCCTCGCCTCGCCTCGCCCTCGCGTGCTTCTGTCGGTTTATTGTCGATTGGACGCCGGTTCGTCTTACGAAATGAACACCTCCCTCCCGCTGCTTCGCGCTCATGATTGGCCTTCAGCATAAGAGGCTGCGCGAGAGATGCAGGAACAGTGGAGGTCTGTGTTTGCGGTGAGATTTCGGACGTTGTTGGGGAATGAGAGGGTAGAGTTTCGAATATGTTCTTCACGGGAAAGTTTGAGATTTAAATTTTGTGCCCTGATTTTATCGTCAAACCACGGAGAAATCTGTCAGTTTTTCACGTTGATTTGAATATTGCTCAGAAAAAAGCTTTAT